TCCATTATTCATTCTCTCCTGTCTATTAATCAAACAAACATCCTGTAAACAGCTAAATTTATACTGAAACCTAAATAGGATGGAGTTCACTCACTATTCACCAAAATATCAAGAGATCCATGGGGACAAATTTATGTTACAAAAACTGTGCCATGGTAGCAGTCTTTCATAGTCATGACCATGTGATCTTAGGTAATTTTTATACACTATGAAATTAAGAGGTAAGTAAAAAGAGTTTAAAGTAACAGCAAGTTGCTTCATGATATGTAACTAAGAACTTTTGGGGTTAAATAGGAAACATAAGATGTTACCCAATAATAACTATTTACTTTGCTCTGTTTTGCTTTTAGTGTTTGTTACACACTAAATGACTTGCCTGGATTTTTTGTCTTAGTTTGTATTAGAAGCAGTTTTTCAAATCAATCAGTACTGCAGAAGAATTGGGCTGATTCCACACAAGATATATACAATCTAGCTATCCTGTCTGTGGGAGACAACAGGATGTTAAGTCTCCCCAGAGTAACTGTGTAAAGATAACACCAACAACTCTCTAAAGAAAATATATATCTATGTTCTACTATCACCAGCTTAGAAGACTGGTTTAACACTTATGAAAAGTGTGTGTGTGTGTGTGTGTGTGAGAGAGAGAGAGAGAGACAGAGAGAGACAGAGAGAGACAGAGAGAGACAGAAACAGAGAGAGACAGAGAGAGACAGAGAGACAGAGACAGAGAGACAGAGAGAGGGAAGGAGGGAGAGTGGGTGTGTACCTGATCTCTAGAATATTTTCTTTAGTAAATGATGGGTGTATGAATAGATGATCAGTAAGTGAATGGATGGATGGATGGATGGATGGATGGATGGATGGATGGATGGATGGATGGACGGACGGACAGATGGATGAATGTGTGAATGGATATGTGGATTGATGTGAGAATAGATGGATCGTGAAAGAATGTATGTATGGATGGATGTATAGATGAATGGATGGGTGGATGGGTAGCCAACTCTAGTTGTCAAGTAAACCATGACTACATACAAATTGAACCTTATTTCCAAAATGCCCTGTGGGGAGTAGAGGAAGCCCTGAGTGAATGTGTAAGGAGCACATTTAAAGTTCTGAGTGAGTGTGTGCTGTTGATTGGGGTACAGCATGTCAAGGACCCTAGAGCCTCAGACTTATGAGAATGGCAAAGTCTTCCCCTGCTCCATGTGTGGATGTTAGCAGAGTAGACAGAAAGTATTGACCACAGCTTCCTCCTGCCGGATGTGTACAGCCTGAGACTACTCCCCCATAGAGACTTGTTATCCAAATTAGCTAAACCTGCCTCTTTATTCAGTTGTATAGAATTAACAAATCCTTTTCCATTCAGATGTATAAAATAAAAATAAACTTATTGAATTTGTAGGCTGCTGCTAGTGTATCTCCATCAGAATGCAGAGCCCACCCAATCCCAACTTGTCTGAATGTGGGTCTGTTCATTTATTCATTCTCTGTTGGCTCAATTAGGTCAATCTCTAAGCCATGCAGGACAGACTGAATCATGTAGCTTCCCACATTTAAAATTATGTCGCATAAACACTGTCAGGTAGCCACATGCTGCCAGCTGCACTTCCCATTCACAATGGCATGACCCCCTACTATTATTAGAATCCTTACGGGAATTTCTGATATGGACTCATAGCCATTCCAGTCACAGATCATAGACAGCAATGGTGCTGTCTTTCCTCCATTCCTTCTGTCTTAATCTCTTGAATGCCCAGTTCCACTGGGGAAACGTGGGACAGCCCTACAGCTGCAAGCTCCATGGCACCTAAGTAGGAGCCGAGGGACTAGATGCAGAGCCATGCTGAAAACCAGTGCCTCTGCTACACAGCTGGTGAAAATGGCTGCACAGTGCAGTCTCCCTTCCTCCAGATTCTCAACACAATTTACCAGAACTCAGGGAAACACATGAGACAGGTTCCAGGATGAGTTAGGATGCTTCCCAGGGCCATGCTGAGGCTCCTAATCCTCTTTACTGTTAGTCCTCTCTCTGGAGACTTCTTGTCCTTCCTGATGTGGCAGTGTGCCCAGCCAGCCACGTAAGCCTTTTCTAGTCCCAGTATTACAGCATTGTTCAAGCTAGGTCCCAGGTACCTCCATTTACTCTGGATTGAGTGCATAGAATTAATATTTTATACATAACTCATACATACAACATTGTATCTAAGGTTAAGAAAACAAAAAAATGTTTTTGCTGGCTTTTACATTCCTTAGTCAGTTTCTAACCATCTAGCATTTTATTATCTATACCTATATGTTCAGACTATGAATACAACACAAATAAATTTTCAGTTAAAGAATCTGTCTTCATAACCCATGCTATGCCCTCTAGCAACTCTACAGAATTTACTTTCTTGACCTAATCATCTGAAGCCGGTACATGCTAATGAAAGATGTAGATACAGATGTTTCAGCCAACAGACTGGGACTCTAATGATGAAGCATCAGGACACAAGTCAAATCACTGAAGGTAAGAGCTTGGAGATGAACTTTCCCTGACATTTCTGGAATACCACAATGCTGCTCTAACTATAAAGCAAATCTTCACGCGGTCAAAAAGTCACGACTTAAAGTTGATCTTTTCAAGAAAATGGCAATGTGCTCTCTTGAGTGGTGATCTTTAGGAGCCAGAATTAAAGAACATTCATAAAACGTTTCAAATTTCATAGCAACTAGACTCTGATAGAGTATGTATAGGAAACTAAATGCATATACGAATACAGTTGCATTTATTCCCTCCCACACCTCAGCCTCTCTCATTTTATTTTGCAAAAGGCTTTCCTTATGTATCCTTGACTGTCCTGGAACTCACTGTGTGGGTCAGACTGACCTTGAAGTCACAGAGATCCACCTGCCTCTGTCTCCAGAGGTCTGGGATTAAAGGTGTGCACCACTCTACCTGGTTGCTTTTCTCTGCTTTGACAATTGCAAACATGGATATAATAATAATCTTGATCCTGAAAAATCTCAAGCATTTATTTATTCTTTCATCTATTATTGGTGAGAGAAAAATAAAATAATTAACTACATATGAACGATATATTTTAAATGTCAATTAGATTCTTGTAACAGTAATATGTAAGTTCAATGACTCAATATTGGGTCAACTTAGAGTGACAGTTCACTCCCATTGCCTTTGAGACAAATAAACTGTTAAAACTTTTTCTTTTAATCTGAGATACTGGTAAGAATTTTGCTATCACTGTTGGACAAACAGCACTTAGGATAGAAATATCACTGTAAATGCCCTTCAAACCCAAGATTTAGAAGAAAATTCTGGGGTGGTCCCCTGAAGCTTTCTGTTTAGAGATATTATATTATCAATGCTCTCATTGCCAAAGAAGCAAATCAAATTTCTATGTTCACAATAGAAAATTGAATCTAAATACTGTAAATGATGAAGCTGGAAGTCAGCTAGGTCTTAACCAAGTGACTTCAAATTCTTTTTCTTTTGCTTGTAAAATAAATAATAAAATATGTTTAAATAATTCTAGAGCATTCTTTTAGTATGTTTACAACTTTTCATGTAAGTCATAACAGGTTCTCATATTATAATGGGGGATGCCCTTTTGTATACGTTTCTCTTATTGGTTGATGAATAAAACACAGTTGGGCCAACGGCCAATGAGGCAGTAAGATAGGCGGGACTAGGAGAGGGGAGAAGTCTGAAAAAGGTAGGCAAGAGAGCCCACCAGAACAGTCACAGCAGAAAGGAGTTGCAGGTCTGACATTCTCCGGTAAGCTAAGACCACATGAAAATACATAGATTAGTAGTAATGGGTTAATAATTATGACAGAGATCTAGCCAGTAGAAGCCCTAGTCATTGACCAAAAGTATTATAATTAACATAAGTCTATGAGTGTTCATTTGACGCAGCTGTGGGACCATGCTGGTGGGGAAATCTCACATAACAATATTGTAGTTAATTGCCATGCCTTTTTCTTTCCTAATACTGTATAAATAGCAGTGTGCCCTACAACCAATGACATTTATGTTTAGTGACATCTCTATAGGACATTTTAAATAAATCATCTCTTGCATTCCATAAGATAAGTAATCAGTCAGAAATCCTTCACTCTCAGAGTCAAATTAATGGAACTGAACCCACGACAAAATTCAACTAATATTGCTTCAATAATAAAATCCAAAAGTTACTTTAGTAGTTCAGAAGTAGCTCTGAGCTACCAGCCAGGCATAATCCAGCAGTTAAGATCATGGAACTCAAACATCTGGTTTCATTGCACTATTTTAACTACAGGGAGAACTGCATGCCCAGGCTGGTTTCTTTATAGTGACGAAATGACTGCCAAATTCCGAACCTCATATCTTCACACCCAGGGTCCAAGCTTCAGTAGGATGAATTGTGTGCTTTGATGGTCAATTTTGCTTGGCATCTGGACTGAATCTGGAAGCAACAAAGAGATAAGTCGCTGGGCCACCTGTGAGGGATTTTACTGCTTGGGTCCTTTTAAGTGGGAAGACCCATCCTAAATGTGGGAAGCACCTTCTAGCCAGTGGTCTATACAAAAGAGAGTCACAGGGGAAATGTAGGGGGCAGGGGGCACAGTCTCAGCATTGCCCTCACTGCTCTGCTCACTGGGGGTTCAACTGAGTCTGTTGCCAATGTCATAACAGCCTCTAAAACCCAGCTTTTCTTCTTCTTCTCCTGCCTTCCAGCAGGGACTGAAAGACCAGTGGCTTTCCAGAGACACACACTCTACTCTAGTGGTTCTCAACCTTCCTAATGCTGTGAACCTCCTCATGTTGTGGTGACCCCCAACCATAGAATTATTTTCCTTGCTACTTCCTAATCATAACTTTGCTACTGTTGTGAATCATGAGGTAAATATCTGTTATTCGGGATTCTGGTATGCGACCCCTGTGAAAGGCTCATTTACCTCTTACAGAGGTTGTGACCCACAGGTTGAGAACCACTGCTCTACTCCTTCACTGGCATCAGGAGGGTTTGTCCATAGGAATCAGCCTGAGGAGTAAGGCTTGAGACTGGAGGAACCCACCTGCGCTGGAATCTTACTAGAAGCCTAAGTGATCCCAGACCTCAGGCCCAGATCTGAGTTCCTCTTTAGAGTCAGTTTCCATTCCACAGAGTACAGAACACTGTTAACTAAGTGGAGAAGAGAGTGCTATGAGGATTCTGGATCCGCATTCTTTCATGTTCCTCATCTTTATTTCTGTCCCTCCACACAGGGAAAATGAAAGGGCTCTATGAGCATTCGGGAGGGAGGTGAGTATAGACATTTTTTCTGATCTGTGGAGTGCATGATATTTTCTGCACAGTGATTTTTCACCTCAGGTGAAGTCTCTCATCTGATCTTTCTTCCAGGCCATTTACACAAAGACATTTTCTTTCTGTACTAACCAGAAGGTGTTATTGGATGATAGCCAGGGCCTCTCTGAACTTCAAAAATGAGGAATCCTTGCAAAACAACAACAAAAAAACACCCCATGTCTTGCTTGGTTGTAAAAAGCTAACTAAGAAGGACGCCAAGGATGAAGGCATTGATTCTCTTGGGTGCCCTTGTCCTCAGAGAGTCAAGCATATTTACTTACTTTAGTGGGCAGTAACCACCCCTCAGACACTGTTTAGGCCTCACAGCACTGTAGACACTGTTGACACTGTAGACACTGCAGACACTATAGACAATTCAATGTGTTTTCTCTAACAAATGGAAGCTTTCTTACAACTGCTCGTAAAGCATGGATACATGGCTTTGGTTAGCTTCAATTCTATTTTCACTAACACCAATTTGACTTTGAACACAGGTATTAACTGCTTGTTAAGCTAATGTCTGTAATGGGCATTTGTCTCCATCTGTCTGTGGTTGTCACCTTCCCTCAAATCTTTCAGAAAGAATCTCAGAACCATTTTGATGTTGTCAGAAGTGGGAAAAGCAGCCACTTACAACCGTCAGTCATGACTTGCTCGAAATGTCCTTTCTGTATCTGTGAGCCTTCAGTGGCTCTAATGAGGGCCCTCACCTTGCTGTGGAAGAATTACAAAGTATAGAAAAAGGTTTGTTGCTATACTTGATGCTTTACCTTTTTACAATAATACTGTTGGCGTTGATTTTTTAAGCATAAAACAGTGGCAAGAGACTTAGAGTACAATTCTGTGTGTGATCATAAGCATATACACCAGTAATTCTCAACCTGTGGGTCATGACCTGTCAGGGGTCACATATCAGAAAACCTACATTTAAGGTGTTTACGTTACAATTCATAACAGTAAGAAAGTTACAATTGTGAATTAACAATGAAGTAATTTTATGATGGGAGGTTCACCACAGCAGGAGGAACTCTGTTAAAAGATGACAACATCAGGAAGGTTGAGAACCACAGGTCTACACTCACATACTCTACTGCAAAACCTGAAAGTCTAGCCCAACTTTTCTGTCACACAATACATGTGTGTGGATTGCAAGGCCCTATATGAGGTATTCAGACTGACAAAGCCTGCAGCATTGACCTAGAAAGCATAAAGCTTGGGGGGGGGCTTCATGGCCACACCCTGTACACAAATGCCTATGTGCCTTGATAGTTTCAGCAGAGAGATAGGGAGAGACATCATGGCATATTAAAAATTTGCAGAAATGCACATAGTACATACAACTACACAAGTGATACCCCCTGTTTTGAATATTTGAAGATAGGATCTTACTCCAAGCTGGCCTCAAACTCACAATGGACCTCCTGCCTCAGCCTTTCTAGAACTGGGATTACAGACATGTTTCACTACTCCCAGTGTGGCCTTACTTTACTTACTGATTCATCTAATATTGATTTTCAAATTTACAGATAGCTCTGTTCAAGCACGAGTATCTATTACTTAGATGCCGTGCCAAAATCATGCTTATAAAGGCAATGATGTTGTCACAAGGTACAATCAGAATTTGTCAACATTTATTTCATTATGTTAAAAAATAGAAGAGTTGAATTTTAGAAAACTGAAAAATGTATCAGATGTCTAAATCTATACCTCCATGGAATATAAATAGAAGTGATAGATTGTGCACATTTCATGCAATTTCTAGTTGAGTCCTTCTTAGGATTACAGTTTGAGACTGGGGAGATCTCAGTAGTTTAGAGTCCTTGTTGCTCTTCCACAGGACCTGAATTCAGGTCCTTGTACCCACATCAAGATACTCACAGCTGCCTGAAATTCCAGGTCCAGGGAATCCAATGCCCTCTTCTGGCATCTGTGGTCACCTGTGTATAAGGGACATACAATCATACAGGCATCAATATACACATAAATAAATGATAAATCATGAGACTAGCTAGGATTCTGTTGTCTCTGTTTTTCAGGGATCTATCCCCAAACCACTCGGTGTGTACCTGAAACCACAAATGCTACCAAACCACATTCACATTGTGGTCATATACACATATGTGTTTGTGTGTGTGTGTGTGTTTGTGTGTGTGTGTGTGTGTGTATACTTGTGATAAAGTTTAAATTTTAAATTAGGCACAGAAAGTCTGCTGGTCAGTTTTTTTGTCTTGTTTTGTTACTGTGAAATATACCAGAGACACACTACTTATAAATGGAAATTGTTTATTTTGGCTCTAGTTTTGGAAATTTCAATCTGGAGCCAATTGGTTCCCTGTTTGGGGGGTCTCTAGCAAAGGCAGAATATCATGGTGGGTCTGAAAACTCTCAATTCATGCCCAGAATGGAAAAAGAAAAAAGACTGGGGTCCACAATCCCTTTTGAGGGCACACCCTAATTGATTGGAAAACCTGCCATTAGACCTCATTTCCTAAAGGTCCGGTGACCTCCCAATAGCATGCTTGGGACCAAGACTTGGCAGTATATTGGCCTTTGGAGAACCTGCAGATACAAAGTATAGAACAGAGGAAGACCAAAAATGACTGGTCTTGAAATAGAGACTTGTGCACTCGTGTGTTGTAATAACAGCAGTGTGAGCATGGCTTTCTCGAAAAGTCGCCCGTTTCTGAAATTTCCCACCATGGTTGAGAGTGGAAAGAGCAAAACGTGGATGGGGCAGGGGATGTGACTGTACCTTTTCAATAAAATTTAATTTTGCAATAGTAGTAACAAAAGCAATAGTATTCATAGGTAACATGTCTATTTAGCCCCCTACGTGCGGGGTGGAACCTCACAAGTCCGGGCTCTATGCATAATAAAAAGGTGACAGGTCCCATCTTGTCTAGGTTCTGTGCAGGTAACCAAAGCAGCAGTGAGTTTGTGGTTTCAATGGCTGTATCCTGGCCAGAAGACACTTCTTATCCATCTCTGAGTTCCAAACCTATCACGGCAATTTTTTAGAGTCATGGGAAAATTAACTTAGTGGGCCCTGATCTCCTTGTGTTTGAAAAAAAAAAGAAAAGGAATGAAATGGTAATATCGGGTTTATGCAGTTCAGTAATTTTTGAGGATATTGTAAAATATTCTCATTAGCAACCTTTAGGGAGGAAAGAAAGCTCCGATATTAGAATCTCCCAAAGCTAAAGACGAAATCATTCCACTTTTGGAAAGGTCCCTGCCCCACTCCCTCCATAGGACTTCCACCATGGAAAAGTAACCACAGCAAAAACAAATAAAAAGCCCTGACAACTGTGAAAGTGAGTGTTCCAACAACCTTAGAAAGGCCCATGTTTCCTTCAAGCTTTATATGCTGCATTGAGGGAGGTCGGGTAACTGTAGCAGACTCTCCCGTGTGCAGGTTCCCAGGAGTACCCACCTGACTTTGGTCCTCTGGGAAGGCAGGAGCCATCCGTCAGATGCTCATACAAGGAGGTCTCAGAGAGCCCTATCGGCCTGGGTTAGAAACAGTGGCCAGAGCAGCTGCCCACGCACCGGAGATGCACCAGAGATTTCTTCCCCAAACAAGGCCATTTACTGAAATGGACTCTCCCTCTTTCCCATCCTGTATTTTGGAGCAATTACAAGGAGATCAAAATGAGGTAATTTTCTTCTAAGTTAGCTCAGATTACTGAGTCCAGGGTTGAAGAATTATTGTTGTTTTAAACAGAGTGTCTTAATTTAGCAGGAGACATTGAGAAGACACTGAAATGTAGGCAACTCTGTGTCAACTCAAACTGCTTTGCAGATAAAAAGGATTTTGTTGCTGGAAAGAAAAAGCTAGCTTATCATCAATGCACATTCTTGAAACAGGTTCCTTTGAAGAATCATCATCTCCAGGAGCAATGGAGGGGTGTGTGTGTGTGTGTGTGTGTGTGTGTGTGTGTGTGTGTGTGTGTGTGTGTGTGTGTGTGTGTAGCTAATATGTTTATGGATGTTTTGATAGCATAGTGTTTATTTTATTTTATTCTTTTCAGCCAAAAGGCAGGATGACAGCCAAACAACCAAGTGTCTTAACTGGTAACTAAAACAGCATTTAAAAGTTTTAAAGAAATTCCTCTGTTTTTAATCTGAAAAAAATAAATGTGTGGAACTGCAGAAAGAGAACTTTGCCCTGAGATAAGACATCACAGCCCAGGAACTTCACAGGAGGCTGAAGCTAGAGTTTGGACTCCTAAAAAAAGTTTCAAGTCTTACATATTAGCAAAAATTTACATTTTAAATGAGTATGAGATTCAGCAGTTTTTAAACACTAATCAAAGATTTGTGGGTTGCCAGAGTGGGGTGCAATGGGTAGATTGCCCTACATTTAAAGTCTATAGCACATTCCGTCCTTCAATAAAGCCGAAAATATTTCCCTAACAGTTTAAAAATTAGGGAATTTAGCTGGCATGGTGACTGGCGTGTCCATTATTCTTGGGTAGATATGAATAGATGTCTACTCACCACAGGTATGGAGAACCAAGCACAGAACAAAGTATACCATATAACACCAAAGTCCAACTTGATGAACCAGTGAGCTCTTTATTGGAGTTAATTACAGGAGCAGAAACATCTTTTTTTTTGAGAACTTCTAAATTTTATTTTGAAAGTTTTGTTCATTTTTATTTAAATTAAAAACAATCTTATTATACATACCAATCCCAGTTCCCTCTCCCTGCCTTCCTCCCATCCCACCTCCTATCCACTCCCCAGGGAGGGTGAGGCCTCCCATGGGGGATCTTCAAAGTCAAACAGAATCGTCTTAAAGAGAGCTATGTCACCAAAGCCCACCTCAGTGTGGGTGACAGCTCACAAAATCTGAAATCCTATAGTGCAGTGTACAACCTGTAGGCATCTCACCAGGTAGAGAATGTCCTTTGCAGGTAGCTCAGTTGCTATGAAACTTTTTAAATACTATGACTATAAAGCTAGAGGAATATCGTATGACTGAAATATTTGACAGTGGTTGTTGTTAAGAGTAGACCTGGTGAATGGATAGAGACATGGCTAATTTTGTTATTATACACTCTCATAGATAGAATAGCTATTGCTGTGACAAGGCACCATGACCATGGCAATTGATAAAGGGAAGTGGTTAATTGTGTGTATGGTTCTAGAAGTTAGAGTCTATAGTGGTAGAGCAAAGTCATGTGAAAGTGGCTAGAGCAGCAACTGAGACACCTTGATCCACAAATAGGAGGTAGAGAGCACACTGGGAATTACAGGAGTCTTTTTTTTCTTTGCCTTTTTTATTTAAATTAGAAACAAGGATGTTTCACTTGTCAATCCCTGCTCCCTCTCTCTCTCTCCCTCCCCTTCTCCCACACCCTCCCACCAGACCCCCATTCCTCCTTCCCCAGGGAGGGTGAGACCCTCCATGGGGGTTGTCCATAGTCTGTCATTTCATCCAGGGCAGGGCCTAGGCTCTCCCCCCAAGAGTCCAGGCTGAGAGAGCATCTCTCATTGTGAGATGGGTACTCAAGTTCTATTTGTATGCCAGGGATAAATACTGATCCACTACCCAAGGCCCCATAGATTGCCTAGGCCTCTTCACTGACACCCACATACAGTGGGTCTGGATCAATCCCATGCTGGATTCCCAGCCATCAGTCTGGGGTTCAAGAGCTAACCCTTGTCAGGTCAGCTGTTTCTGGGGGTTAAACCAGCCCAGTCTTGACCCCTTTGCTCATCAGTCCTTCCTCTCTGTCACTGGATTCCAAGAGTTCAGTTCAGTGTTTAGCTGTGGGTGTCTGCCTCTCTTCCATCAGTCACTGGATGAAGGTTCTTTTTCCGAGACTCTCTGGCTGTGGGATTGTAGGCTAACACTCCCCTGATGCATGTCTAAATTCCATATATGAGTGTATCATGTTTGTCTTTTTGTGATTGGTTTACCTCACTCAGGATGGTTTCCTCTAGTGCCATCCATTTGCCTGCAAATTTCAAGATTCCATTGTTTTATTCCACTGAGTAATACTCCCTTTTGTAAATGTACCACATTTTCTCTATCCACTCTTCAAATGAGGGGCATCTAGGTTGCTTCCAAGTTCTAGCTATTATAAATAATGCTGCTATGAATATAATGGAACAGACATCCTTGTTGTATGAATATGCATCTTTCGGGCATATGCCTAAGAGTGGAATTGCTGGGTCTTGTGGTAGGCTGATTCCCATTTTCCTGAGGAATCTCCATACTGATTTCCAAAGTAGTTATATGAGTTGGCACTCCCACCAGCAGTGGAGGAGTGTTCCCATCTTTCCTCATCCCCTCCAGCATAAACTGTCATTGGTATTTTTGATTTTAGCCATTTTTATAGGAGTAAGATGGTATCTCAGAGTTGTTTTGATTTACATTTCCCTGATAGCTAGGGATATTGAGCACTTTCTTAAGTGCCTCTCTGCCATTTTAGACTCCTCTATTGAGAATTCTCTATTTAGCTCTGTACCCCACCTTTCAAGTGGATCCTTTGGTGTTTTGGAGACTTGCTTCTTGAGTTCTTTGTAAATTTTAGAGATCAGCCCTCTGTCAGATGTGGGGTTGGTGAATATCTTTTCCCATTCTGTGGGCTGCCTTTTTGTCTTGTTGACTGTGTCCTTTGCCTTGCAGAAGCTTCTCATTTTCAGGAGGTCCCACGTATTAATTGTTGACCTCAGTGTCTGTGCTACTGATGTTATTTTCAGGAAGTGGTCTCCTGTACCAGTTCATTCAAGGGTACCTCCCACTTTCTCTTCTAAGAGGTTCAATGTGGCTGGATTGATGTTGAGGTCTTTGATCCATTTGAACATTTGAACCTAAGTTTTGTTCATGGTGATAGACATGGATCTTTCCGAATTCTTCTACATGCCAGCATCCAGTTATGCCAACACTATTTGTTGAAGATGCTTTCTTTTTTCAATTGTATATTTTTAGCTTCTTTTTCAAAGATCAGATGTTCACACGTGTATGGGTTGATATTGGGATGTTCAATTTGATTCCATTGTTCTACCTGTGTATTTTTGTGTCAATCCAAGCTGTTTTCAGGACAATAGCTCTATAATAGAGCTTGAAATCAGGGATGGTGATGCCTCCAGATGTTGCTTTTTTGAATAGGCTTGCTTTGGCTACCCTGGGTCTTTTGTTTTTCCATATAAAGTTGATTATTGTTCTTTCAGGGTTAGGATAGAAGAGAAAGTGGGAAATAACCTTGAATGCATGGACACAGGAGAACATTTCCTAAATATAACACCAGGAGCACAGACTCTGAGAGAAAAAAATCAATAAATAGGACTTCCTGAAACTGAGAAACTTCTGTAAGGCAAAGGACACAGTCAACAAGACAAAACAGCAACCTATAGAATAGGAAAAGATCTTCACCAACCCCACATCTGAAAGAGGATTGATCTCCAAAATGTATAAAGAACTTAAAAAACTAGACACCAAAATACAAAATAATCCAATTTAAAAAGGTGGTACAGATCTAAACAGAGAATTCTCAACAGAAGAAACTCAAATGGCTGAAAGGCATTTAAGGAATTGCTGAGCATCCTTAGCCATGAGGGAAATACAAATAAAAACCACTGTGAGATACCATCTTATACCTATCAGAATGACTAAGATTGAAAACTCTGATGACAGCTTATGCTGGAGAGGATGTGGAGTAAGGGGAGCACTCCTGCATTGCTGGTGGAATGCAAACTTGTATAGCCACTTTGGAAATCAGTACCGCAGTTTCTCAGAAAGTGATCTCAGTCTACCTCAAGACCCAGTAATACCACTCTTGGGCATATACTCACAGGTGATCAATCATACCAAAAGGACATTTGCTCAACTATGTTTATAACATCATTATTTGTAGTAGCCAGAACCTGAAAACCACCCAGATGCCTCTCAACCAAAAAAAATAGATAAAGAAAACATGATATATTTGCACAATGGAGTATTACTTGGCTGTAAATAAAAATGACATCTTGAAATTTGCAGGCAAATGGATGGAACTAGAAAAAAACATACTGAGTGAGTTAACCCACACTGAGAAAGACAAGCATAGTATGTACTCACTCATAAGTGGATATTAGGTATAAAGCAAAGGATAACCAGGCTACAACTCACAACCCTAGAGAAGCTAGGTAAAAAGGGGGACCATTAGAGGAACACACATGGAGGGCCCCAGGAAGACGAAATAGTGAAGATCTCCTGGGTAAACTAGAAGGGGGGATAGAAGGGAGGGGTGGGTGGCAATATAAGGGATTGAAAAGACCAAGGTGGTGGAGGGATGGAAGGGGACAGCAATAAAAGAGCTATCTTAATAGAGGGAGCTAAGATGGAGTTGAGACAAAACCTGGTTCTAGAGAAATCCCAAGGAATCCATAAGGATGATCCCAGCTAAGACTCCTTGCAATGGTGGAGAGGGTGTCTGAATGGGCCCCCCTTTAATCAGATTAGTGACTACCATAATTGTCTTCATAGAATCTACATCCAGTAACTGATGGAAGCAGATGCATTGAACCACAACCAAGCACTGGGCTGAGCTCCTGGAATTCAGTTGAAGAAAAGGAGGAGGGTTAATATGAACAAGAGGGATCAAGAGCATTATGGGGAAACCACAGAGACAGCTGAGCCGAGCTAGTGGGAGTTCACGGTCTATGACTAACAGCTGGGGAACCTGCATGGAACCAAACTAGGCCCTCTGAATGTGGATGACAGTCATGGGGATGGTAACACAGACTAGCAGTAGCACCAGAACCTATCCCAAGTACATGAGCTGACTTTTTAGAGTCTATTGCCTAAGTGGGGATACCCAACTCAACCTTGATACAAGGGGGAGGAGCTTGGTCCTGCCTCGACTTGTTGTGCCAGACTTTGTTGAGTCCCCAAGAAAGGCCTTACCCCCCTGAGGAGTAGATGAGAGGTAGGAAGGTAGGATGTGGGGGAAGGAGAAGGGAAGGAAGGGGATCTGGGGTTGATATGCAAAATGAAAAATAAAAACTCTTTGCCCTCCCAGAGGAAAGGAAGTTGGATTCAGTGTTATCAATCATCTTGACTCATTGAGTTGGATAAGAAAACAGCTTCCTCATTGACTTTTATGAGGCTTAGTTGAAATGCCAGGTGATTTTAAAGTCTACTTAATGAATAGAAAAAGAAGTGTGGAAGAGGA